AGAGAGAGAGAGAGAGAGAGAGAGAGAGAGAGAGAGAGAGAGGGAGAGAGAGGGAGACGGAGGGAGGGAGAAAGGGAGAGTACACGTTGACAACGAATCAGAGGGTGTGAGCATAAGCGACAGGCATCCGTGGCACAACCTTCCAACCGCAGACAGAAAGAGGGTGTATACCCATGGGGTTTGCGAGGTGCTTAATCAGCGATGCTGTCCGTGCTTGCGATCGGTGTGTGCTCTCGTTCGCGCTTGCTTGGGTTCTTGAACGTGGTTCGTCAGCGCTCGCAGCAATATTTGCGTTACACTGGACGATTTCGGATCCAAAATCGGGCCACGCACCCACGTATTTTCTCGGTGTACATCGTATGCCAATCCATGCCAACCGCTCTCTCTTTTATGAAGAGAACGCGATATTTTATACTTCAGTGTTTCTTTGTGTGTGACAATTCTTCACGCCAAGGGTTGTCACAACGGCATACATATCTATGCATACATACATGTCTTCATTTCTTGACATAGTTTCGGAGAAACTACTTCGGGGGTGACACGTGTATTAATTGTTTTTTCCCCACGGCGCGCTCCTCCAATTTACTCCCGCGAGACGGCTCCGGCAATGATATTTCCCACTCACCAACAGGCGCTTTTCTTATCGTGTTATGCCGGAATAAACCCCACGAACTTGACCGTCAGAGCCTCGCCTTTATACCACGGGAACGATGCTTCCAATTACGTATCGTTTCATCAAGAACACAGATAATACTTTGAGCGTTGTCCTTGCCCTCTCCGCTCCGCCCCTATCCACAGCAGCAGCACCTTTCCCCAGTCAATAACTGACGCTCTGGGATATAAAAATTTGTCTCGTTCTCTCACTTTTGAGCCGAGGCTTTCCCCTCCACATTTCGGCCACATGTCGTCACCGCCGTCGACGTCGCACTCATCCACCATGAACCACGTGCACCCAAGCAAGTGTCCAGCAAACACGATCTTTCCGAGCAGCTTGATGAGCCGCACAATTGAGGGGTTTAGCCGCCGGGAGAAGTCGACTTTCGCCATTTTTCTAGAGAGCCGCAGGATCCGCATCAGCTTCAGCAGCCGGAACACACGTACCAGCCTGACATTTGCAGCACCGTTGGCTTGAAGCGGTTAGTTGTGTCCAGGTTTTTTGTTTGGCTCGCTTCAACCACGGTGTGCGTGTTTTCGGCGAGCTACATAGCTGATGAGGATAACCCCAATACCAACACCAGTTCAACACCAACAGTTCTACCAGCAACCACGACCTAAGGTATCACGGAACCTGAGCACCGTCCTCTCGCTGTGTTCGTCACACTGATGATGGTTTTTGGATAAGATCATCTCGTTCAGAGTTACGCTGATCGTTGATTGGTGAATGACGTGTCGTCATTGGCCAGTCGGTTAACGTGGCTGATATATTTCAGGACAGCGAACAGGCAACCCTGTCATGCATCTACTCAGTTTCTATTCTTACACCATTCACAGCCAGATGCACCAGAAGACAACGGCAGGTATTGTCTTACCGAACCCGTCGCTTACATCGGGCCGATCAGGTCCAATCTTGACGCGAGGATAACAGGAGACACAGGTGACTCAGATCATGCGTTGGAACTTGACCTACTAACGACTGATCTGCCCTTTCGCTCAAGAACGGGCGTACACGCACCGACAAAAGTAAAATCAGAAAGCTGCACACCCTTGGCCAGCAACGTCCGTATCAGAAACAACGCCAAGAAAACACCGAACGCTGCTACCACGTAGTTGGCATGACGAAGCCATCTTACCGTAAGAAGTTGACGCTTTGCAGGCTATCCACGGTGGTGATGAAGAGCCCTATCAGCGATGCGAAAGGCACGGTACCCAAGACGTCCGGCCCAAACCACGTCGACACGTACTTCCTCGCAATGGTCGCTCGCTTGTAAACCAAAACGTCCTGAAATGTTTCAATATCGGTCAACGGTTGAACGTTTTGCTTTTCTCCTGTTTCTCGTAGGACCGAGGGCATAGACTAGAGCAAAAGAGATGAAACTGTTCGTTGTTCGTTTTGGATGTGTATAGATAGCCCGGGGTGCGTGGCGCTGGCCACTAGAAGCGCAAACCAGAACCATCTCCTCGGCTTCTTTACCACCGTAGGTGACACAAGATATCACACCCCTTAGACCGATTTTCAAAGCTTCGTTGCTTCACACCAGAAAGAGTGGTGGTGGCGAAACCGATGGAGTTGGATACTTCTCGTCGAGAGCGTTCAGAAAGCGCATGGTTTGATTCATCGGTACCGGTTCCCGCACTGCGCTTGCTGCCGCACTTGATGGGGTCGATGGATT